TCCTTGGTATACCTGTGAGTACTTGGTGCATGGTCATTGGCGAATAGAGCTTTGAATGGATCTCCTTATTAGGAAGTATATGTTGTTTAACAACTTGTCCAGGTGGCCCCATAATTATAATTGACCTGCCTCGCTATTTATTGTCTACAAATCTATATATCAATATATGAAAATAGATATGATATATATCTATATATTTACCTGTGTGGTAGTATACACCACATTTATTTATTGCAAATCATAGATTTCTATTTATATGTGTGTATATTGTGAAGAGGTGCAATATTTTGAAGTGAAAAGAAATTATTTTTCTAACCCCTAGTGCGTATACCATATAATGTGATCAGTGTTTCATATCCAATGAAACAGACATTGGTTTCTTAAATTGTAACTATTGGTAAAACGGTATTTATGTTTCAAGTCTATTACGTCCCCTTCAGTATAAGATGTTTACAGCTTTCTAATCATTTCCAGAAGATTGAGATGTAACGAGGTGATGAAATGTGCTGCTTTGCTTTAGTTCTGATATCTACACCTAATGTTGGGGTCCATTGAGAATTATTTTGAATAAAATATTGTCATAAGGCAACATGACTCTTGGCTGTTCTTTTACGCTAGTGTTCCTACCGGTGTAATATATCATTGGAAGTATGTTCTTCCCCTTCTGGAACACCTATCTCCCAGGCGAGAGGGTTAACTGCTGGAGTACATACTTTTCTGGTTGAGAGGGTTTACTGCTGGAGTACCCATCTGCCTGGCTGAGAGGGTTAACTGCTTGAGTACCATCTGCCTGGCTGGGAGAGTTTACTGCTAGAGTACCCATCTCCTAGGTGAGAGGGTTAACTGCTGGAGTATCCATGTGCCTGGCAGAGAGGGTTAACTACTAGAGTACCCATCTGCCTGGAGGAGAGGGTTAACTACTAGAGTACCCATCTGCCTGGCTGAGAATGTTAACTGCGAGAGTACCCATCTGCCTGGAGGAGAGGGTTAACTACTAGAGTACCCATCTCCTAGGTGAGAGGGTTAACTGCTGGAGTATCCATGTGCCTGGCAGAGAGGGTTAACTACTAGAGTACCCATCTGCCCGAAGGAGAGGGTTAACTACTAGAGTACCCATCTGCCTGGCTGAGAATGTTAACTGCTAGAGTACCCATCTCCTAGGTCAGAGAGAGAGAGTTAACTGCTAGAGTACCCATCTGCCTGGCTGAGAAGGTTAACTGCTAGAGAACCCCTCTGCCTGGCAGAGAGAGAGTTAACTGCTAGAGAACCCATCTGCCTGGCTGAGAAGGTTAACTGCTAGAGTACCCATCTCCTAGGTGAGAGAGAGAGAGAGTTAACTGGTGGAGTACCCATCTGCCTGACTGAGTGTGTTAACTGCCGGAATACCCCTCTGCCTGGCAGAGAGAGAGTTAACTGCTAGAGTACCATCTGCCTGACTGAGAGAGTTAACTGGTGAAGTACCCATCTGCCTGACTGAGAGAGTTAACTGGTGGAGTACCCATCTGCCTGACTGAGTGTGTTAACTGCCGGAATACCCCTCTGCCTGGCAGAGAGAGAGTTAACTGCTAGAGTACCCATCTGCCTGACTGAGAGAGTTAACTGGTGGAGTACCCAACTGCCTGACTGAGTGTGTTAACTGCTAGAATACCCATCTGCCTGGCTGCGATGGTTAACTGCTGGAGTACTTATCTGCCTGATTGAAAGGGCTCACTACTGGAGCACCTATCAACAACTATGGTTGACACGTAGGCGTGTTTGAGGCAGTTTATCACGGAGGGTCGATGAGCTGTACAGGTGAAAGTCTTAATGGGAAATAATTCACTGAAAGAACAATAGGATGATGTCACAAATTATATTTATATACAGTAAAGTACGGTTATAAAGAAATCAAAGGGACAACTAAATTTAGTTCGTTTTAACCGTAGTTCGTTATAAGCATATATACAGCATTACTACAGCAAATAGTCGGGACCAAAAAAGTAGTTCGTTATATCCGTCAGTTCGTTATAAGCGTGTTCGTTATAACCGTAGTTTACTGTATTGATATTTATCGGTAATGTATGAAACCAATCCGCTTTCAGATACAGTTTGTACTGTACATATTTGGACACCTGAACATTTAATAAATGCTCCGTTTATAATAAGAGGTTAATTCAATCATGTCTTCTTCAGTTTAACAACCAGAGAGTCAACCCGCAATGCATAACAACAAACGAATATCTAATACAATGTTGTGAAGCATCTTTGTATGTCCTGTAGATGTATTCTCTCCTTCTTCTTCTTCTCTGACCTTAACCACAATTTCATCGAATTCAGTCCATAACTATTTAAAAAACAAATATGAAATAATTTTGTTACGAAATCACAAAAAAGTCACGAGCTTGAAAATATATAATATATATAATTGTAATTATTGAGCAGTTGCTGTATGGCGCAAAACCTTCAGACATCAAACATTATTCTGCAAATAACATTTCTTAGTCCTGAAGTTTTCCGTAGCATTTTACATTGTAAGAAGCGAATGTTGACGATAAGCTCTGTTACGTAAATAAATACATTTAAAACGCTCAATAAAATATTGGTTCATTGTATATAGCAGACCACCGGTATGTAAAAACATGTTATACTATACTCTTGGTGTTTGTTGTAAATTATAAAAGAAATTGGACATCTGAAGTTACACATGGCAAGAGCTGTTGGTGATAAATGTATACAGTTTTTTTAATTTTTTTCTAGATCGACGGAAATTATCACATGAGCAAAATTGGCATTCGTCTCTCTCAAATTTCTCAAAAACGTTTGGCAACACAACTTTCCCACATCTTTATGTCGTTGAATCTTATATCAACATTATATATATATATATATATATATATATATATATATATATATATATATATATATATTAACACAGACGGGCACTTGCTCGACGTATATGGCAGACATCTTCGGGAAAACAGGAACGATAGACAGTGCATTTTGGTTAAGAAAGAAGATGTTGCAGGTGAAAACATTTTACGTATTTGTAATATCTACTGACTATAATTTATTGAGATGTGTGTATATTCCAGCCATTTGGTATCTTAAGACACAATTACCCTCTTTTCCATGTCAACTGACCACCTTCTGTGGTCTAATGGTTGAGCGTCCGCCCGGAGAGCGAAAGTTGGGGTTCGATCCTATGCCGCGTCATACCAAAAGACGGTAAAAGGTGTAAAAGGTATTTGTTGTTACCCTGCCTGGTGCCCGGCATTTAGGGGCTAAGACAATGGCTGGTCGGCTCGTGGTCAGTATACTGTGTCTGAGTGGGGTATTCATGTTTAACTGCGGCATTGTATCTCAGTGGGCGAGCACTATAAAATCGGCATTACATTGCTGTATAATAATGAAAGCAACGTTAAACCCCATTTCGCCTCACCCCACTTCATGCCACTGATACTATAATCAAGCAATTAATACTATGATCGTCGGGCAATATATTAAGGCAATCTCTATTATCATGCTATATTTGACTTCGAAACGGGGTATAAGGAATCTATTCTGCCCCTTTGAAATGCACGTGCAGCTTGACTTGCTCGTGGCGGGGTATGAGAGATATATTCCTCCGCTGAGAAATGTATTTCCCTCCAAGGCGGGATACATAGTTTATCAAGATCACGAGGACCAATCAAATATCATCATTCTGACATGGAGGTATGATAAACAGATTTCTCCAAGTCCCTCAGTAATCAAGTATTAACCATCCCTGAACTGGTCCCTCTATAAGAACTAGTAATCTGAATCTGTTCGCGTGCATCTGCAGGTGTGACAGGTACAATGTAGAAACGGTTCATGAACCTTCACACACCCTACTGACACCATAATGTATTGATATCAGTAACACTCAGGTGGCGCAGGTGGCCCAGACGTCTAAGAAGCTGACATTCTCTGTATAATTCGCCCACTCATTACAAAAAAGTCATATTTGAAGCGACGCATTTAAGAATCTACACTCACTAATCACGCTGTAAAGGAATGCTTGTGCTTGCAATGCAATACCGATCACGAAAACATGGAAAGGCTTTGTCGAATGTATGTTTAATAATGTGATTTTGTTTTGCAATCCTGTTTTTTTGGAAATATGCAAACTGACCAGTTGAAATAGAGACCTGTTTACATCCTACGTTACTATATCTCCTACCAGGGTGTATTCTAACAGATATCGCCCTCCACATATAGGCAGGAGCATGTTTGTGAATAATCTGCTAAAGTCAAACGATTTCTTCCATACGTCCCTGACGTCAAGGAAATATGTGATGGTACTTCTCTCCATAGCAGTACGCCCACGACTGGCACGGTTCGTGACAAGGACACAGACCCAATCCCTCTCAGCGATGTACACTTGTCCCCGCCTGTCACGGTGTTCACAGGTCCCCTGCCTGTCACGGGGTACACTTGTCCTCTACATGCCACGGTATACACAAGTCCCCCTCCTGTCATGGTGTACACAGGCTCCCTGCCTTTAACGGTGTAAACAAGTCTCCCCCCTCCCCCTGCCACAGTGTACACGGATTCCGTGCCTGTCACCGGGTACATATCTCTGCGGCATGTCACGGTGTATGTCCCCCGCCTGTCTTGCTGTACACTTGTCCCCTACATGTCACGGTATGACCAGTCCCCCGCTTGTCACGGTGTACACAGGTCCACAACCTGTCGTCCCTCGCTTGTCCCTCGCTTGTCTTGGTGTACACTTTACCCCCGGCTGTCACGGCGTACTATTGCAACATCGCCCCCCCCGGTGTACACTTTTCCCCCACCTGTCACGGTGTACACAGGTCTCCAAACTGTCACGGTGTACACTTGTCCCACACCTGTCACTGTGTACACTTGTCCCCTGCCTGTCATGGTGTACACTTGTCCCCTGCCTGTCATGGTGTACACAGGTCTCCCGCCTGTCACGGTGTACACAGGACCCCCGCCTGTCATGGTGTACACAGGTCCCCCGCTTGTTACGGCATGTCATGGTGTACACAGGACCCCCGCCTGTCAAGGTGTACACAGGTCTCCCGCCTGTCACGGTGTACACAGGTCCCCCGCCTGTCATGGTGTACACAGGTCCCCCGCCTGTCATGGTGTACACAGGTCTCCCGCCTGTCAAGGTGTACACAGGACCCCCGCCTGTCAAGGTGTACACGGGTCTCCCGCCTGTCATGGTGTACACAGGTCCCCCGCCTGTCATGGTGTACACAGGTCCCCCGCCTGTCACGGTGTACACGGGTCTCCCGCCTGTCATGGTGTACACAGGTCTCCCGCCTGTCATAGTGTACACAGGTCTCCCGCCTGTCATAGTGTACAGTTGTCCCCCGCCTGTCATGGTGTACACAGGTCTCCCGCCTGTCATAGTGTACACAGGTCTCCCGCCTGTCATAGTGTACAGCTGTCCCCCGCCTGTCATGGTGTACACAGGTCTCCCGCCTGTCACGGTGTACACAGGACCCCCGCCTGTCATGGTGTACACAGGTCCCCCGCCTGTCATGGTGAACACAGGTCCCCCGCCTGTCATGGTGTACACAGGTCCCCCGCCTGTCATGGTGAACACAGGTCCCCCGCCTGTCATGGTGTACACTTGTCCCCTGCCTGTCAAGGTGTACACAGGTCCCCCGCCTGTCATGGTGTACACAGGTCCCCCGCCTGTCATGGTGTACACAGGTCCCCCGCCTGTCATGGTGTACACAGGTCCCCCGCCTGTCATGGTGTACACTTGTCTCCCGCCTGTCATGGTGTACACAGGTCTCCCGCCTGTCACGGTGTACACAGGTCCCCCGCCTGTCATGGTGTACACAGGTCTCCCGCCTGTCATGGTGTACACTTGTCCCCCGCCTGTCAAGGTGTACACAGGTCTCCCGCCTGTCATGGTGTACACAGGTCTCCCGCCTGTCATGGTGTACACAGGTCCCCCGCCTGTCATGGTGTACACAGGTCCCCCGCCTGTCATGGTGTACACAGGTCTCCCGCCTGTCATAGTGTACACAGGTCCCCCGCCTGTCATGGTGTACACAGGTCCCCCGCTTGTTACGGCATGTCATGGTGTACTCTTGTCCCTCACATGTCACGGTATACACAGGTCCCCGCCTGTCATGGTATACACAGGTCCCCGCCTGTCACGGTATACACAGGTCCCCGCCTGTCACGGTGTACACTCGTCCTCCGCTTGTTACGGCATGTCATGGTGTACTCTTGTCCCTCACATGTCACGGTATACACAGGTCCCCGCCTGTCATGGTATACACAGGTCCCCGCCTGTCACGGTATACACAGGTCCCCGCCTGTCACGGTGTACACTCGTCCTCCGCTTGTTACGGCATGTCATGGTGTACTCTTGTCCCTCACATGTCACGGTGTACACAGGTCCCCGCCTGTCACGGTGTACACAGGTCCCCCGCTTGTCACTGCATGTCATGGTGTACTCTTGTCCCTCACATGTCACGGTGTACACAAGTACCCCGCCTGCTACGATGTACACATTGAATAAGCAGTTTTCCGCCTGTTATGCTTTTTACGGGTCTCTAACTGTTATGCTTATGCAGGTCATATTCTGATATGGCAGTGTGAATTATTGTTAAACAATAATTGTAACTGTATTACAACTGTTTCTACTGGAGTAGGCGTTCATTGCATAGCATTTGGACCATGATTAGTCCTCAGGAATGTAGTAGTATTTAATGAAATCAGTGGCATTTAGATGCTCGAAATATCTATAAACCTGCAATGCCATTGGCAGGTCTCTATGCAGTCGCATGCTTAAGAAGGTCTCTATACCTCATGCTATAAGCAGGTCTCCACCTGTCATGCTATAAGCAGGTCTCCACCTGTCATGCTATAAGCAGGTCCCCATTTGTCATGCTATAAGCAGGTCTCCACCTGTCATGCTATAAGCAGGTCCCCATTTGTCATGCTATAAGCAGGTCTCCACCTGTCATGCTATAAGCAGGTCTCCACCTGTCATGCTATAAGCGGGTTCCACCTGTCATGCTATAAGCAGGTCCCCATCTGTCATGCTATAAGCAGGTCTCCACCTGTCATGTTATAAGCAGGTCTCCACCTGTCATGCTATAAGCAGGTCTCCACCTGTCATGCTATAAGCAGGTCTCCATCTGTCATGCTATAAGCAGGTCTCCACCTGTCATGCTATAAGCAGGTCTCCACCTGTCATGCTATAAGCAGGTCTCCACCTGTCATGCTATAAGCAGGTCTCCACGTGTCATGCTATAAGCAGGTCTCCACCTGTCATGCTATAAGCAGGTCTCCACCTGTCATGCTATAAGCAGGTCTCCACCTGTCATGCTATAAGCAGGCCCCCATCTGTCATGCTTTAAGCAGGTCTCCACCTGTCATGCTATAAGCAGGTCTCCGTGTGTCATGCTATTAGCAGGTCTCCGTGTGACATGCTTTATATCCACCTATCATGCTGTAGGCAAATCTCCTCCTGTTGGCTATGTACAATTCTCCGCCTGTCGTACAATGAGTGTCTCGATGTCTTACAGGGTACTTACAGGTAGAACGATTGGAGTGGCAGCCTTTTGAATAAATGTTGAAATAGAACCTGAGGCTGTTATGTAGGCGGATCAATTGCATTGGTTTACTTTGCATATTTTTTACAAATCGATGCACATTGTTTTGTGAAGACAAGTCAATACTCTAGTCTCAAATACCACAAAGCGCCTCAAGAGTAGATATGTTTCATGAATGCATGAAGCGGATAGACGTATTGTTTGAATAGTTGTGCCGAATGAAATTGTATATTTCACCTCGGCAAAACAACAGGAATAATCTATTTACGAACAACGACAAGAAATTGATATTGAGATCGTTTAATTTTGTTTTTCGTGATATTATATTGACTCTGATCTGTGGCATTTAGAGACACCTTTGTTGGGTCACCTGAGGATTCAACATTGCACATGATGATGATGATGATGATGATGATGATGATGATGATGATGATAATGATGGTGATGATCAGTGATGATCAATAATGATGATGATGATGATGATGATGATGATGATGATGATGATGATGATGATGATGTTGTTTTGGGGAGCGCTTCTGCAAAACCCGATTTCGCAGGCATGACACACGGAGACCTGCTTATAGCATGACTGCACTCTGGTGAGATATAAACGCAAGAGTCGGCCCAGTGACAAGTAGATGGGCAGCGATTACTGGAAGCCTACGATGGCCACTAATCCCGTTGTGACCACAATCGGAAACTGAAAAGTGGCTGACCATGGCTGATTGACTGCCCGGGCCTTTGGTGTCACCAGCAGGAAGTACAGACACCATTCCTTCAGATAAGCTCTGTAATTAAGGTGTTACTATCGTGTTGTCATGGCAACTATAATACCGAGGTTAGCTAAATATATGACACACAAGAGGGGAGCTTCTGCCTTTGTTTGTTGTGTAAACACAGGTCTGTTTTTCATGATCCCCCAAGGAAGTAATATTATAATACAAGGTATTTTGTACTTTAAAGATTTAGTCAGCTACACCATTCAAGACATACGGCTTTGGTCACGTATTACACATGAACTCCACCATTTAGTGAGCGACGTCTCTGCTTTAGACAAGGGTTTAGGTCAATCCTCGAGCCGGACACGCATATTTCCCCACAGCTTGTATTGAATTATATATATATATATATATATATATATATATATATATATATATATATATATATATATATATATAGATAGATGGATGGATGGATGGATGGATGGATGGATGGATGGATGGATGGATGGATAGATAGATAAATATTTGTATCTATCGGTATGCCAATGATTTCTTGTTATATCCAGTATACATTTGAAAAGAGGCGACTTATGGGATCGGGTGGTCAGGATCGCTGACTTGGTTGATGCATGTCATCGTATCCTAATTGCGTGGATCGATGCTCATGATGTCACTGGATTGTCTGGTCTAGACTCGACTATGTATGGACCGCCGTCATACAGCTGGAATATTGCTGAGTGCGGCGTTAAACAACAAACAAACAAAACTTTTGAAAAACATTTGAAAAAAGGAACAATGCACGATGGCCCGATTCATGTTAAACTTCGGAATGGTATCTCAGTGGGTTAGCACTATAAAATCGGCATTAGTCCGGACTAGTACAAGCAGGCACACACACCTCACCTCACCTCACCTCACCTCACCTCACCTCACCTCAACTCATGATCAACTCAACTCAACTCAACTCAACTCAACTCAACTCAACTCAACTCTGGAACGGGGCGCCGCTCATTAATGACAGCTGTCTTATTTTACAATGTTCAGGATCATTTGTCTAAAATGAACGCGAATGTCAACAGAAGTTCACTGAGAAAACAGTTTGTGAAATGCTGGACTTCCTCATAGAAGACATTTAAATGACATTTGGGCATTCAGCCAACATGCAGCCATCCCCATGGGCACCACTGTGCTCGCATTGAACACATTGGAAGCCTTTGTGAAGCTTTGAAAAGGTAGATGAATTAGTGATAAAACAAAACAATCCCCCCTTTTCACTTGGGGGGGGGGGGGGGGGGGGGGGGAGGGGGCAGATCATCAACCCAGCAGTAGACGCATAGATCACCAACGGCATCACATTATCCACTCCATGCAGCCCTACGCGGATCGACAAGTATCATGATACGAGATTTAATAAAATTCTGTACTAATGTCTGTTCAAAAGCGGGTGTTATTGAGTCTAATGCCGATGTCTTCTTGTTTCCCATGTCGGTGTTTCCTTGTTTTTCCGTGTTGGTGTGTCCATATTTCCAATGTCGATGTCCTTGTTTCCCATGTCGGCGTCTTCTCGTTTCCAGTGTTGGCGTCTCCTTGTTTCCTATATCGATGTCTCATTGTTTCCCATGTCAGTGTCTCCTTGATTCCCATGTCGGTGACCTGTTTCCGGTGTTGGCGTTTCCTTGTTTCCCATGCCGATGTATCCTTGTTTCCCATGTCGGTGTCTTCTGGTTTCGGTGCTTCTTGATTCGAGTGTTGGCGTCTCCTTGTTTCTTATGTGTCCTTTGTTCCGATGGTGAGTTCTTCTTGTTTCCAGTGTTGGTGTCTCCTTGTTTCCCATATCGATGCATCCTTGTTTGTCACGTCGATTTATTCTTGTTTCCCATGTCGATATATCCTTGTTTCCCTTGTCGGTGTCTTCTGGTTTCGGTGTCTTCTTGTTTCCAGTGTTGGCGTCTCCTTGTTTCCCATGTCGATGTATCCTTGTTTCCCATGTCAATGTCTCCTTATTTCTCATGTCGGTGTCTTGTTTCCAGTGTTGGCGTCTTCTTGTTTCCCATGTCGATATATCCTTGTTTCCCTTGTCGGTGTCTTCTTGTTTTGGAGTCTTCTTGTTTCCAGTGTTGGCGTCTCCTTGTTTCCCATGTCGATGTATCCTTGTTTCCCATGTCAATGTCTCCTTATTTCTCATGTCGGTGTCTTGTTTCCCTTGTCGGTGTCTTCTGGTTTCGGTGTCTTCTTGTTTCCAGTGTTGGCGTCTCCTTGTTTCCCATGTCGATGTATCCTTGTTTCCCATGTCAATGTCTCCTTATTTCTCATGTCGGTGTCTTGTTTCCCTTGTCGGTGTCTTCTGGTTTCGGTGTCTTCTTGTTTCCAATGTTGGCGTCTCCTTGTTTCCCATGTCGATGTATCCTTGTTTCTCTCGTCGATGTCTCCTTATTTCTCATGTCGGTGTCTTGTTTCCAGTGTTGGCGTCTTCTTGTTTCCCATGTCGATGTATCCTTGTTTCCCATGTCAATGTCTCCTTATTTCTCATGTCGGTGTCTTGTTTCCAGTGTTGGCGTCTCCTTGTTTCCCATGTCGATGTATCCTTGTTTCCCATGTCAATGTCTCCTTATTTCTCATGTCGGTGTCTTGTTTCCAGTGTTGGCGTCTCCTTGTTTCCCATGTCGATGTATCCTTGTTTCCCATGTCAATGTCTCCTTATTTCTCATGTCGG